TTATGTGCTTAAGCACATGATAACACTTAGTTTTAAAAGATTTGTATTTTCCCTTAGTTCTGGAAAATTTTAAAACTCACATATTTGATTATTTTTAAAATTCTTTTTAATTTGACTTTCTGTAAATTCTTTCTGTCCTCTATTACCCGTTTTTTCCCCATCCTTCCTAACTATTAACCTGCCTATCAAATTTTCCATATGTCTGTCTCTGTGTGCTATATATATTCTGGTTAATTCCTCAGTTTAGTTTTCCAGTTTATTAAGTTGCTCTTTAGCTGTGTTTAATCTTTAAAGATTCCCATTCATCGAATATTTTGAACCACTCTGAGTCCCATATTATGCTTTATCTAGTTGAGCTGTTCTTTTTTCACCACATTATTTTATTGTGGCTTCTCGTTGTTCTTTTTTTTTTATATAATTTTAACATGTTTGTCTAATAGTGCTAAATAATTTATGACTTCGAGTTATCACTACATTGGTCTATTTTCTGCTGACTCAGTTTTATAGTGCTTTATTTTATGTGTAGACTGAAGTGGTGTGTGAGTGTGTGTGTGTGTGTGTGTTTGTGAGTGTGTGTTTGTGTGTTTGTATGTGTGTGTGTGTGTGTGTGTGTGTGTGTATCAACTCAACCTCAATTAGAATTTTTTGCTCATGCACTTGTCCACCTCAGTTTCTGGATATGTGCCTACAGTGTGGATTTGCCTTTTTTTTTCCTAATACTCCAATGTCTACCCCATAGATTGTGTGAATTTGGACTATATTCTTACATATAAAGGATCTGATCTTTCATTGGAATTTTAAAAACATTCTTATCCAGAGGCCTAGGCAGATCTAGCTCTTATGCCACTTCCCTGGGTGGGGGCTCCATGTTCATGGAGAACACAGCTCCCTTAAGGGCCTCAAGTAATCTCAATCCCAGCTCCATCTCCTCTGACCCTAAAAGCCTACCTCTTATGTCCCCATGTGGCTATTAGAACCCTAGATTCAGGTCATTCTGGCCTGTACCAAGCCCAGCATCTCCTCAGGCTTCTGTGGCATGGGCTCCCATGATGATTCCCATGGCTTAGAACTCGGTCTCCATTTCTGTCACCTCGCAAGGCTGGCTTCATGAGCTCAGCCATCATCACCCTCTTGATAGTCTGGTTAATTCTACCTTTGACTCTGAGTGAAGCCCAATAGGACCACAGGGCATGTGTGGGAGCAGAGGAGCCCCATGGAATATGTGTGCCTTATGGGTGTTAATGCTCTCATTGCATATGGTGCTGAGAAGTCCCCGAGAGCACAGGGTTCTTTTGAACCCAGGAAGGGTCACCAGGGGAATGTGCTGTGTCCACAGCCACGGACAGCTGGAAAAATGCCACACTTTTCCTTGAAATAAGAAATTGCATCAAATGCATAGAGAAGCCAATGGCCCACTAAGAAAGAGACCAGCAAGGAAGCCCATCCTGGCCTCTGCCCTTCACATCACCCCCTGTGTTCACCAATTACCTGTGCTGCCGATGGTGACATCAGAGGAAAGGGAAAAGTGGGGCACACCTTAGTCTCTTTTCCTTCTTTCCCTTCCTCCCTTACCTGTAAGCTGAAGGTACAGGGGGTTGGTCAAATGTGCACGTGTCAGGACATCAGGACAGAACAGATGACCCAGCTCTGCATGGACTTTCTGCTCCTGGGACATCTAGTGGGACACACACACCACATCAGCTCTGGAGGACAAATTGCCAACTCGGGCAATTCTGTGGAGGATCCCTGGCTCCTGCCTCTGCATTAAAAGTTGACATCCTGTGACGGGAAGATGGTAAAATTCATGCTCATGATTTCAGATTCATTTTTATTTCTTTGTTTTACTTAGAATAATATCAAATACCAAATTTAAAAAAAAATGAAAGAAAGAAAAAGAAAAACACCAACACGCATCAAGAAGGAAATCACAGAGGAAGGGAAAAGCCTGCAGGACCTCTCAGCACTCCTGCTTCCTGCTTTTTGTACAAAGACCCTTATTTTCATTATTCTTGGGTCAAGCAAATTATAGAGCTGTCCTGAGCACTTTCCTGTATATTTTATTTAAATTTTATTTTTACTAAAAATCCTTTGTCGTTCAGTCTCCTGTCAGCATTGACCTTGGTCTTTCAATTTGCTTCTGTTTCCCGCCTGCCCCCAACCCCGCTGCTCACCAAGCTCTCAGGTCAGATCTGAAAAAGACCCAGGATGGGAACTCAGCCGAGGCTCAACTCAGGCCCCCAGGAAATGCAAGGGTGGCTGTGGGAGGCCAACCTTACTGGTGACTGAGTTACACTCCCCAGCTGGGTGCTGAGGTGCTCAGTCAGAGAAATGGGTGTGTCTTG